TTAACTTTTACCTTTTCTTACTTTGATGTCTACTGATTTTGATTACCATCAACTGTTATGTTAATGTGAACAATTCATTGACATTTGCTGTGAAGCCCATGGTTTGGAGCCTTTCTCCTCTTCCCTCCCCACAATGCTGAGCGAAGTAATCCCATATACTCATTGTCACTGGGTTGATCCAATTCGTAGCAATCCTCAGAATCCCTAGGGGCCCTGAGACTGTCAGCCATAGGAGATCTGATGCCTCACAGGTCTCTCACAGTGGAGCTAGTGGGTTTGAAGTGCCCACCTTGCTTCTAGCAGCCCAACACCTAACCCATAGTGCCACTAGGGCTCCGTACTCCTACGGTAGCTCCTGAAAACTGGATGTTGGGGGGTTGAGCTCCTACTTGAACATGTTCAGGTTTTCACTCTCTCCTCTTGGCTTTCTTGCTTTTTCATGAGTTTCCCACTTTCATCGCCTCTGATAAAGCAAGCATTCCCTAGTCTGCCAACTACTTAAATAAGGCAACCCTGCATGCTGATTTAGCTCTGCTGAGAGATAATGAACTGTCTTTCAGCAATAAAAATGTATATAGTACAACAGTTCTGTGACCCGTTCATACTGTGACCCAAATAAAATGTCCATAAAAAGAAAACCTTTCAAGGTCAAGACCCCCATCTGATCTCAACAGATAGTTTCATTTAAAAAACACACAAACATGAAATGTGCAACATCTATTGCTTCTTATAAATACTTCACTTGAGTCCCCATTAATGCAAGGCTGACTTCTAAACTGGTTTCAAGTCATGATGCCTGAACTTTCTTTCTGGTTGTCAACATTTCCTCTAATGTCCCATTCTGCATAACCCTCTCCTTTCACTTCCCTAAGAACAGGCGAGTAGACACACAGACCTTCCACAGAAGCACGTGGGTCCTAGCTTCCCTTGGGAAACACCTACCACTCAGGAACAAACCAAGCACATGCGTCTAGGTCTAGAGACCATCCACTCTGGCTGGCCTTGGGGCTGGGCTAAATCCTCCAATGCTCACAGCCACTTGGTTCCCCAAGATGAGGATGTCCGTCAGTCCATTATGCTTCTCGCCTACTCTGGAAGGACTCTGCAGACAGGCTACCTCTAAACGACATGCCAGCTCCCAGTCTGTGGAGTCCTACAGGTTCCCAAGGCGAAAGCTTGAGTCTTTCACCCTAGAGTCGTCATCCCCTACCACTGAGGCGACTCCTATTCACAAGGGCCCTGCACAGGATCCCTAAGTCTGTAAATCCTCCCAGGGGCACATAGCCCCACCTCCTCCTCCTCCAGTGCTCAAGGACCTCTAAAAGGCATGGGTGGATTTTCTTTTTCTGTTTTGTCCTTACTTATCGTATTATTTTTTTTTCTTTTTAACCTCTGACAATCATCTCCACGGCTTTATGCTTGGGTAAAATATTTCAGAGACAGAGTTGGGGAATGCTGCCTGGGTTTCAGACAATCCCTTTGATTTACCGCCCTGTGGCTAAAGCAGGACAGGCTTTGGGAGAAAGACCAATGCCATTCACGTAAAAGGCTGCTCCTGAGGCCTTGGCATTTCTAACTTATCTAGCAATCATTTGTTTTTAATTGTCATTTGATTTCTCCACTGAGAGGATGGTCACCGTTGACCCATCACGATGGGCCTTCATGAGTTCCAAGGAACAGATGGAGGGTTTGGGGGTGGCTGGTTTTCAGCTGCATCCACACAACACATGTTCTTTCTGAAGCTTTATTGGAGGCTGTCTTGATTGTTTTCCTGCAGGGCCACCCATCCTACAATGGGAGATACTTCCCAGCACCCCTGACTCCCTTCAAACAGCGCAGTGTTACCAAAGAACCTCCAACTTCAGGTCAAGCTGTGGAAAAGCTTAAAAAAACCAGGTTGATTTAAGGTTTCTATTTTAACTTGGTGTCCGGTTTCCACGGGGGCCTGAGACGAGTGGCTTCAAACTCACTTTAACATTTAAGATCATTTTCAGCCAGGTCTTTGGGGACCAGCAATTAGGAAAAGCAGACAGTTCAAAGAAGAAGGGCTATAACCTCTCAAAGGCTTGTTTGTGAGGTCTCCAGAAATACTTCCACCAGCATTTCTTTCTGTTCTCGGCCCGACGGCTCCACCAGGTCAAACAACCTGCTGCCACACAGTCTCCGGTAGGCAGAGAAAACCGTGGTTTTTCCATTTTGCTGTGTTTGGAAAGACACCAATGTCTAAGTCCATTTATTCATACCCATAGCTGTCCTGGGGAAGGGATCTAAAAACACCCGAGCCATTTTGCTGCAGATTGCAGGCCAAGAGGTACAACACAAAGAACACCATGGGAAGAATAGTCCCTTTGAGCCCCGCGTTGGAAGGATGCACGGACTGTGGGGCCCGGGGCCTTCATCCTGTGCTTTGCCCTTGTGCTGCCCGTTCGTGTCTTGGCTGGAAAGTGAGCAGGAGATGAAGAGGACTTTGCCTGTGTGACAGAGCTTTACGACGGCTCAGAGGTGCTCCCAGGCTGGTGCTCCTGGCTGACACAATGCTGCTGAATTACCCGGGGATCACCTTTATTCCTGGCTTGCTTACTTCTCATTACCAGACCATGGAATAGAAACCTTTTTTGGAAACCTGAATACTATCACAAACCAGAGATTTCAGGAGAAATCGATGAGGTGTGCAATGCTAAGGCTTGATACTACTGCCCACTGGACACAGAAAGCCCATTATTCATACCACTTTTCAGCGGAGAGCCAACTGGAGCCCGCGCAGATACCGCCACCCTTGCCGAGTTCTTGCTCTGGTGAGCAGATTCTCCTCGTTCTTTTTATTCCTGGAGAATCAGCATCTTCGAAAGGGCAGGGTTTCTACGAGAGCCTCTTGGAAACCGAATGGCAGCAGGTGTGGAGTCAAACAGGAGCGGCTGCCCTCGCTCCAGCTGCTTTGCTAACTCGGAGGGTAGAAAAGGATGGGCCTGGTTCCTATGCCAGGAACAAACTCTATGGATAGTCTGAGTCTGCCAACCTGCTACCACACAGGCTAAAGGTCAGGTGCAAGCCGTTTGGGTCCCAGGGCACTGGCTCATGGCCAGGTTTACTTCCATCCTACATTTGAGCGTCCCTAACAAGTTGGACTCTGCTGAGCAGGCTTTTCAGCAGACGTTACAAAAATATAATAAAGGACACATTTATTGCATGAGCTCACTATAACATAGATCAAAAGAGATAACACAGAGTGGCATTTGATAGGGAAAATACTCTGATATTGAGACCAGTTATGCATTACTCCAGAGGATGAGTAAGGAAACATGATTTAAAAAAGGAAGAAGTCACTCAACAAAAGTCAAACTGTGTTCTGTAATTGGAGAGTTAATGACAGAGAAGATTTCACACAAGCCCACGTGGATGTCTGGGGCCTGCAAGCCCCCTGCAACAGGCCTGGACAGCTCCCCAGGACCGCCACAAGATAGCCACTGCCCTCCCTGCCTTGAACTGCACACATGTATGTGGTGGAAATGACTGAGTTACAGAGCTGATATGCAGTCTGAGCTTGTGGGAAGGAAATGCTTTGCGAATTCCAAGTGTCGTTATCAGACTGTCATTCAAGAATAGAGCATTATAAGGTTTTCATCTGTTCCTGACCTCGTTAGTCCTCCCTTCTGATCACGGAGTTTACATCTGACTGGGTAAAATTGGGCTGGGGGAGCGGGGGAGTGGGATTTGGTGCAAAAAGATTTGAGTTCCCGTTCCAGCACTGAAACTCATGAACTGTGTGACCTTCAGCACTTCTGTTAATCCTTCGAGCCATACCTTCCTCCTCTGTGTAAGAAGGCGGCAGTACTAACGTCACTGTGAAGACCGAGAAACACTGTCTGAGAACATCCTGATAAAGCTCAGAGATCCATGCAGGCCACCTTGCTCTCTCCTCTGTCGTCTCTCCCCACCTCTGTCAGGGCCGAGGGCATTGCTGTGGGCAGTGTCTCTGACACGTGTGGCAGCACATCTCCACGGCCCTTCACTCCTTCCTCTGACAATCGCAGAACAGGGGCTTGGGTTTCCAGAGCAGAAAAGAGTCTCGGGCAGTTTCTAGGAGAACCGCTGTAGCCACTACCTCACCATCAACCCTACTAAGGCAGTTAGTTTTTTGTGCCAGCCTGGCCGATAAACACATCTGGAATTAATTGAAGGGAGGAGAGATAAATGGCTCCACGAACCTCGCCTTTCTTGTCTCTTGCTCTTTGATCATCGGACCAGTGTGCGGTTGCCTTGCTTGTTCTGTGCCTCAATTCGCAAGCTACTCTACCTGTGGGATGCCTAGCCTGTGGATTGTGTCGCTGTAATTTGAGGTTCCTTCAAGACCTGCTTCACCACACCATTGGAATTTACATCTCTTGAGCTGGGGACTAACTGTTGGTGACCTGCCTTGCTGTTGGCTGCCGGTGCCGAGAATCTGAAAGAGAACCCTGTCTAACACATTTTGGTACCAGGAGTGCTTCTAGAGAAATAAAATCATAAATATGAGCTTCTTAAATTGGCTCTCCAGTCTGATTAGTCTTAACACTGGTAATGCTACTTTGACACCCCAAAGCATGGATAAGTCTGCTACTCTTACTAATCCATGGTGTGAAATAGCAAAGCTAATACCTACAGTAACACCACCGATAGATGAGATGCTGGTTAAATGAGAGGCTCTGAGTGATCTTATGTTTGTCTAACACATCTACCACCACCACCACCACCACCCACTTCAAATGAGATCACTGAGCTCCAATACCCTTGAGTCAGCTGGTGGCACACCCAGGCCCCTTGACTCAAAAATGTGTCCCTGGCCCTGCAGCTTCCCAGCTCTTAGCAGCCCTGGCCTACATTTCCACTCGGTGACTTAGCAGCTCACATTCTCAGGTCCCCTTTGCCCTGACCTGTCTTTGCAAGGGACCCTTTGCAAGGGACCACTCCTCCGCAGCGCAGAGGAGAAGGCAGGGTCTAGGGCAGGTGGGTGAGGCCGGTACCTTGGCATTTTGCAGGGGGGGTTGGTAACTCGACGGCCGATAGAACATCCTCTGCGTGGCATCCGTGTGAATGTCACCCAGAAAGAGCTCCTCCACCAGATGGTCTAAGTTGTGATGCAGGTACTGCTTCTCCACCCGGATCAGCTGGAGCTCATGCATGGCAAAATTCACAGCCCTGGTGCACTCACAGCCGCTTTCCTCACGCCACAGGTCACGCGTGACATCCAATGTCCAGGGACTCCCAGCTGGGACAAACCCTGGGCAAGTACGGTTCACTAGCTGGCTGAGCCTCTCAGCGACGGCCTCAGTGTGGCAGATAACCTGGACTTGGTGTAGCTGGTAGTCGGCTTCAGTTCCCCCTCGGATGATCCATGATGCCTGGCGCAAGCGGATCTTGCCTCGGATGACAAGGGTATAGGTGGGATTTGTACAGCGGTTGCCACCATAATAAAACTGGTAGGCTTTGAAGGTGTTATTGTGGTAAAATCTGTAGGATCTTGTTATGAACTCGGGGCCTGACCTTACTTCACACCTGAAGAAGAAAAGAGAAAGGATAGTCTTTTTAAGGTCTGAGGCAAGAGGAAGCACTCATGATAAACTTGAATCAATTCTAAATCATAGCACTCTATATGCCGCAGAGTAGAACTGCCCCAGAGGGTTTCCAAGGCTGCAGATTTTTACAGGAGCAATTGCTACATCTCCTGCAAAGCGGCTGGTAGGTTTGAACCACTGACCTTTTGGTTCGCAGCTAAGTGGTAAACCAAGGTGCCACAGTAATGCCAATAAAATGCCTACTCTGAGCCTGGCACTGTTCTAAGCACCTTATTGAATGCTAATTTACTGGATCTCCACACTTTCCTGAAAAGCCAATCCAAGCTCATTATCTCAAGTCTGTTCCAACTCCTAACAGTTTTCTAAGGCTATAAATTTTGGGGGGAGTAGATAGCCTCAACTTTCTCCTGAGGAATGGTTGGTGGGTTTAAACCACCAACCTTGCAGTTAGCAGTCCAACACGTCCCTAACAGCACCGCCAGGGTTCTTAGGTATTATCTTCCATGTTGTACAAATAGGGAGGAAGCAGAGATACAAAGAAGTTAGGTTAGCATGTTCAACACAGCCAACAAGAAGCTGAACCAGAGCTTGAATATAAGCAGTTTGATTCCATCCTGCGCTCTTACTCATTGTACCCCAGCATCTCTCATTCACTGTACGATTGGGCAAGGAGAGCAGATCCATGATGTCCACAACTCAGACTGTCGATTCACACAGGGTTTCATTCTTTCAGGTACTAAAGGTTTCTTGGAGTTCCTAAGCACTCTGCAGGCCTAGTCTATCTCTCTCTGGTTAGGAATATAGCATTTTGTATCATTACCTAATGCCACAGCAAAGGGCATTTTCTGATTACCAGTTGGCCATGTGTAACCTTTTACTCAACTTTTGTTGAAACACTCATTTAAGACCTTGTATGGAGAAGTCAACGAATTGCCTGTTGCTCTGGAACGAACCCAATCTTCTGAAGACCTCACCCACTGAAAATTAAAAATGTACTACTCTCTAGTCAATGGAAAAGTTATTTCCCCTCTAGAAGAAAAATAATGGGCAATTAGAGCTCATTGTAAAAGCAAAACTCACTTAACAACAGAAATAAGAGCTCCTTTTATTTTGGCTGGCTTGCAATCAGAAAATGCCCTTTGCAGTGGGATTAAGTAAATAGTATGAAGTAGCATATCCTAACCAGAAACATCTAGACTAGGTCTGCAGAACATAAAATGGCTTAATAGATTTAACTCAGGTCAGCTTCTCACACAGTTATAATTATAATATGTTTACACACCAAAGACAAGATATGGCCTTTCTTCAATATAGTTAATTTCATGTGTAACCTTTCACCCGAGTCTACCCTGACTTTGATCTCATCAGTCGTGGTTGGGTAGTTTTGCTCATGACTACAACCTTAAAGAGGATTCTGGTCTGAGATGACTTAGCATCACTAAAGCAAGGAGTTGGTCTGAGACAAGTAGGACTCAAAATCAATTGGGCAATTGGACATCCCCTTACAGAAGTGTCACAGGGAGGAGACGAGCCATTCAGGGTGCTGTGTAGCAACAATGAAACATACAACTTTCCTCTAGTTCCTAAATGCTTCCTCCACCCCACCCTCCACTATCATGATCCCAATTCTACCTTACAAATCTGGCTAGACCAGAGGATGTGCACTGGTACAGATAGGAACTGGAAACAGGGAATCCAGGACGGATGATCCCTTCAGGACCAGTGGTGAGAATGGTGATACCAGAAGGGTGGAAGGAGGGTGGGGTGGAAAGGGGGAACCGATTACAAGGATCTACATATAACCTCCTCCCTGGGGGACGGACAACAGAAAAGTGGGTGAAGGGAGACGTCGGACAGGGAAAGATATGACAAAATAATAATTTATAAATTATCAAGGGTTCATGAGGGAGGGGGATGTGGGAGGGAGGGGAAAAATGAGGAGCTGATGCCAGGGGCTGAAGTGGAGAGCAAATATTTTGAGAATGACGAGGGCAATGAATGTACAAATGTGCTTTACACAATTGATATATGTATGGATTGTGATAAGAGATGTATGAGTCCCTAATAAAATGATATTTAAAAATCAATTACATATTAATTTTTTCATTAAGAAATTAGTCAATGGTAAGCACTATTTCAAAGTGTGTACCTTTTGCTATGTAAAGATTGTCAACTGATGTCCAATAATAGCACACAAATGTACAGCACTCAGTAGTGCTTTTAGCATGCATAATCTGTGAACAAGTTTACTGGATCTCCTCAACAGGGAAAGACTCAAGACCTCAAGACTCACGACTGAAGACTTCTCTTCCAAAGGAAAATGTTAGTGTAAGCAGTGACTACTGTCAGTTATGGAACTGATAAGAAACAAACAAACTCACATCCATCGAGTTCATTTCCATTTACAGCAATCCTATAGGACAGACTAGAATTTCCCTATGGATATCTGAGACTGTCACTTTTACGGGAGCAGAAAGGCTCATCTTTCTCCCAATGGATACAATCACTACTTTTATTTTTATTTTGGTAACCACTGATAATCCGTTGACTGTCTCCAAAGTAAAGCATATCTCAGATACATTCATTTTCGCCAGCACCCTTGCCACTGTTCTTACCTAAGCCTTCATGGTCTCTAGCCAGAGCTGTTACAGTAGTCTGTTAATTGGACGCCCCAGTCATGTTTTTCTATGACTGATTTGCCACTCAGAAGCCAGAGTGCCTTTGAGTAAAGTTGAGTCATATTTCAAGCACGTCCCCTGCTGAGAGCTTCAATGGCTTTGTCATCTTCTTACAGTATATTAAAAGTCAAACACCAAGAGGTGGACTGTAAAGCTCCCCAAGATCTGCCGCCACACTCCTCTCTGGCTTCGCGTGAGATTATCTTTCCCTTGGTTACTATACTTCTCCGGCCAAAGTCTGACTCATTTTGTAATCTGACCAGGCCTTTGCTAGTCCTGCTAGCTGGGAAGTCCTTGCACAACCAATAGTCTTCAGCTCAGGTGTCACCTTCTTTAGCAGACATCCCTTATCTGGCCCACAATCTACAATAGGGCTCCATGGTATTCTCTTACGGAACCCTGGTACAGTCCTGGTTAAGCATCCAGATGCTACCAAACCATTGGTGGCTCAACCCATCAGCCACTCTATTGGAGACACCTATGGCGCTCTACTTTTGTAAAGGTAAAAGCCTTGGAAACCCCATGGCACATCTCTACTGAGTCCTACGTGGTTGACATGAATCAGTTGGCTGATGCTATTTTATCTAAGCACTTGGTTTTGTTTGTTTTCTTTCTCTCCCCTTCATAGCACCACATTTTATAAATGTGTATGTATAATATATGTTGTATATAATTTATAAAATCTCCGAATACAGGAACCACATTGGTTTGGCTTAGTGCTATACAAGTCTAGAACTGTGCTTAACACACCATCAATCACACAATAAATATGTGTTGAATAAACTGATAAGTTATCTGAAAGCATATCACATGAAGGTTGTTCATGCAAATATTTATCATATGGTTATTTAGAGAGACCCTATTACAATAAAATTCTGTCTTCACCATCTTGTAAATTTTCTTTTTTGTTTTCTCACAGTCATTTGATCTCTTTCCAGGCTACCTGGAAGCTGGAGCTCATAGCCCAGGTACTGTACAGAGGAAGAAGCAATCAGATTTCAGAGTTCGTTTTGATCTTTCTCAAAACTATAATGGGTAGGGGCAAAAAATCACAGGACTTCCTCTAGCCTATTTTTAAAAAGTCTAATAGAAGATAAGCCAGAGCTTGGACTGGGGCAGAGCTCAGCAAAGAAAAGAATCCAAGCACTATGCCCTAGCGAGTCAAAGTAGCCTAAAGTACCTTTAATTTATTCTTTAACCAAGGCTCCAAGAGTAGGGCTAGCACACTTATAATTTAGCTATAAGAAGCAGCTTTGCAAATCATACTTGGGGTTAGTGAAACACAGACTCTTAATTCCACTTGCTAATGTTTCTTTTTATAAACAATAGATCCAATAAAGCCTAATAAGTAAAGAGCTATTCACTCACACTATGTGGCTCCTGGGAGCACCATGACATCTCTGCTGTAGCCCCCTATTTCTACAGGATTTAGTGCTGCTTCTTTACCAACCAGGGTCTCAAAAACTTGCTTGTCTTTTAGTTAAAATGTGCACAATATCCAGATCACTCTATATGACGTGGTTGACCTTTGAACAACATGAATATGTTCGCTTATATGCAGCCCTTTTTCAATAAATATACTTAGTATTTTTTTCCTTTGAGATTTGCAGTAAGTTGAAAAAACAGACGAATCATGTAGCCTAGAAATGTCTTAAAAATTGAGATATGTTAAGTACTGGTATGTCATGAATACACATTTTATCATTTAGTACCCCAATAATTGACAAATCTGGTTTTGAAAGTTAAAATGTATCAAAATGTATGCACACACACAGAGTGTACATGGTGCCATTTGCAGTTGAAAGGAATAATACAAACTTAAAGAAAGCAAACATACAAAAAACCCAAATCACTACCATTGAGTCAATACTGACTCACAGCGCCACCACCCTGCAGTTTCCAACATGCCGTTGACAGCAGAAAAAAGCCCATCTTTTTCCTGTGGAGCTGTTGGTGGTTTCAAACTACTAACCACGCAGATCGCAGACCAATACACAGCCACTACACTCCCACAGCTCCACAAACATAAAAGATGCAGTGTTAAACCACAACTGCATAAAATTAACTGCACTACATAATGGACTACGGCAATAATTTTATAACTACCTTCTGTTGCTATTGTGGTTAGCGTGTGTTGCAAGCACACATCGCACACACGCAGTTTGTCTTTCTACTGAATTGGGTATCACAGTAAAAAGTGATCTCTCTTGGTCCTTGTGTATTTTTCACTGTGCTTAGTGCAATCCTGTAAACCTTAAATAACACCATACAAAGTGCCACATGGCTTGAAGTGTTCCCACGAAGCAGAGAAAAGCTGTGACGTGGAAGGAAAAAGTGGAGCTGCTTGACATGTTCTGGAGATTATGCCTGCTGCCATGGTTGTGCACTGCTTCAAGATAAATGAATAGCACGCAGGGGCCATTATAAAAAAAAAGAAAAATGAAATTCGGAAAGCTGTTCCTTAGGCGACCCCAACAGGTACAGAAACCTTGTTCTTTTGTGAAGTACCTTCTTGTCTCATATTGAAAATGCAGCTTTTCTGTGACTGCAGAATTGTCCTAAGAAAGGCAAACATACAGACCTTAACATGATTCAAGGAAAAGTGAAGCCATATGACCGCTTAAAGCAAAAGGAAATGAAGCATCATAAGCTGGAGCATTTAATGCCACAAAGATTGTCTGATAATTTCAGAAAGAAGTTTGGCTTAAAAAAATGTCAAGATAATCATAGAAGCAGCTTCTGCCTCCCATGAGGTAGCAGACAAGTTCCTAGACACCATTAAGAATAGGACATTCCCTCACAGAAGGGTCCTTAGGAAAGGAGGGGTCAACCATGGTGCAGTATGGCACTGATGAAATGCACAATATTTCTCTGGTTCTTTGAGGCTTCCTCACCCCTCACTGTCATGACGCCAGACCTGCCTTTCATTTAGGACTAGACCAGAGCATGTACACTGGTACAGATAACTGTTCATAACACATGGAATCCAGGTTAGATAAACCTCTCAGGGATAGAAACGGGAGTAGTGCTACCAGGAGGGAAGGGAGAAGGGGGAGGAGAAGGGGGGAGGAAGGGGGAACCGATGGCAATGATCAACACATAATCCCATCCCCTCCCAGGGGGATGAACAACAGAAACATGGGTGAAGGGAGACAGCAGTTGGTGTAAGATATGCAAACAATAACAATTTATAATTTATCAAGGGGTTATGAGGGTAGAAGAGGGGGGGAGAGGAGCTGATACCAAGGGCTCAAATAGAAAGTAAATATCTAGAAAATGATGATGGCAAGATATGTATAAATATGTTTGATACAATTGATGTATGGAATTTTATAAGAACTGTAAGAGCTCCCAATAAAAATGATTTTTCTAAAAAAGGAAAATCATTGAGGAGAAAGGATGTCTGCCTGAACAGACTTTCAATGTAGACAAAAATGTTCTATACTTGGGGGGGGGGCAGGGAATGGGGCATAAAAGACACTTATTAATAAGAAGTAAAGTGAGCACTGGGATAAGGCAGAGGGAGATGCTCACACTACTGTTTTGTGCAAATGCAGTTGGGTTTATAATCAAGACTGCCCTCATCTATAAAGTCGTTGACCCCTAACCCCTGGGACCTCGAAAGGAAACGATACCTGGAGTGGTTCCATCAATGCTTTGTTCCTGAAGCCAGATAGTACCTTGTCAGTAAGGGACTGCCTTTTAAAGCTATTCTGATATTGGGCAATGCCCCTGGCCACACAGACCACATGAGCTCAACATGAAGGCATCAAAGTGGCCTTCTTGCCCTTAGACCCAACATCTCTACGTCACCCTATAAGGATCATAACCTTTAAGGAACATCATACACAGTTTTCTATGGAAATGATTATGCCGTGGAAGTGAAGCCAATAGAGAACATCCTGAAAGTCTGTTAGAGTTACACCATTGAAGATGCCATTATTACAGAAAAATTCATGAAAGCCGTCATACCCCAAACAAGAAATCCCTGTTGGAGAAAACTGTGTACAGGTGTTGTGCATGACGTCATAGGATGACAGAGTCAATGCAGGAAATCCTAAAGAGATTCTGTAAATGGCAAAAAGGTGAGGATGAAGGATTTCAAGGTATAGAGCAGCGGTTCTCAACCTGTGGGTCGTGACCCCTTGAGGGTTGAACAACCCTTTCACAGGACCCCGATTCATAATAGTTGCAACATTAGTTACGAAGTAGCAACGAAAATAATGTTATGGTTGGGGGTCACTACAACATGAGGAACTGTATTAAAGGGCCGTGGCCTGAGGAAGGTTGAGAACCACTGGTACAGAGGAATTCACTACACAAGATGAGTTAACAGAAGACAACTTGATGGAGATGAGTACTTCTGAACCAGTGCCAGATGATGAGGGACATGATGTAGAAATAATAGGGACAGAGAACAAATCAACATCACAATCTGGCAGTCAGACTGCTTTTGACTTCTCTTATGACATGGATTCTTTTATGATATGGGCACTGACTGAAGCAATCGGTGGAAGATTTGTATTGTATAGAAACTTAAAAAAAAAAAAAAGCGAAGCAGGCAGAAATTATGATAAATTTCCATAAAAGTACCCTGTGTTTTGCCTGTCTCCCCTTCCATCTTCTCCATCTCTTCCACCTCTAAGACAGCAAGACCCACCTCTCCACTTCCTCCCCCTTCTCAGCCTACTCAACATGAAGACAACTCATCTTATAAGCAGACAACACTCATCAACAAATACAATCTTGTTGGTTTATTCTCTTTCTCATGACTTTCTTTATAACAGTTTCTTTTCTTTATCTTACTTTATTGTAAGAACACATTTCACATACAGATTATGTGCTACCAATGGTTTATTTTATGTGATTGGTAGGACTCATGGTCAACAGTAGTTAAGTTTTGAGGGAATCAAAATAACTTCACAGATTTTCACTGACACAGGAGTTGACAGATTTAGTTTCAGTACAGTTCAAAGTACAAGTGTATAAAATCTGTGTGCAAGTGAGAAAGCACAGGGGCTTTCCACTGAAGTGACCACTCCTCATCGTGTAGCTCTTACCCTGTGGAGACCCAGTGCCCCTCAATTGTGGGTGGCATCTGCACAGTGATCCGAGCACCATTGTGGAGATGCTTGAGCATGTGGTGGCACTGAGATTCCTTGAAGGCCCGCCAGGCACTTTTCTCTAGGGACCTCGGGTAGGATCTGCTGTCTGGGTGTAGGAGGGCAGAACCCTCTCCCAGCCCTGAAAAAGAAAAGTGAGAAATTAACCACAGGAGAATTGGTTGCAGACTTGAATCAGGCTGAAGAGCCTTTGGCACCAGTGAAATAGCTGCAAGTTAGAAATTCTCTCTCCCACATATTATCTGCATATAGTCTCACAGAATTCACATTCCCAAGTTAGAAGTGTCCTTGGAGAAAATGTCACAGGTGAAAAAAAGCAAAACCCATAAAAAAAAAAACAAAGCTGAACAACTTAGGGTTTCGGTTAGTTGTGGTAAAATCAGAACTCAAATCCTTGCATCTATGAAACAGAAGACGAGGTTGTGTGTTTCAGTGAAGTACCTGTGTAGTGCAGGCACATCAACCCAATAGGGGTTGTAGAAAAGGGCTTTGAACCTGTTCCAGGATCATTAAAGAGGAGACTACAGGACCGATGGGACAGGTGAGAAAGGGACAGGTCACCAGAGACATGTTGGGGAGGAAACAAACACAGAGACATGTTGGGGAGGAAAAACGAAGGAGACCAGTTGAGTGAAAATGGTGCTTGGGCAAATGTGATGTGAATGAAGATCCAGGCAAGCGTCCCGAAGACTTAAACGGGAGAGTTACCCCCACCAAGACATACATCTTCCGGTCCTTGATCTCCGGATGGATGTCTCTCCAAGGCTGCTCATCAACAGCACAACAGCAGGTCACCACGTGCCTTCCCCTACAATTTGGGTACGTGTCATATTTTCCGAACACTTTTAAAGTCAAACCCCACACTCCCACAAAAGCCAGTGACAGACTACACATAAGGCTTAAAATAAAAATGAATTACAAAAGTATTTCATAGTTTTACTGTCCAGAAGTCCCAAACCAAACCAAACTCATTGCCATCGGATCAATACTAACTCATACCGAATCTGTAGAAGAGGGTAGAATTGCCCCTGTGGGTTTTCCAAGACTGTAACTCTCCATGGGAGCAGAAAACCTTGTCTTTCTCCCTCGGGGTGGCTGGTGAACAAATTCCAAAAAACAGCTACTACAGAAACAAACTTACTGCCATCAAATAAGTTCCAACCAGAAATGACTAAATATAGAGCGTGTCAGCCTGAGTTTTTATGGGGCAGGCAGTCCCATCTGTCCCTAGAGGGGAGCCTGGTGGATGTGAAGCACCCGGCTGGAGTTAGCAGCCCCATATTGAACGCACAGGTCTAAGATAATCTTTAGTACCACAAAGACTTTAGGTTGACCCAAATTTACACATGGAAAAGTACCAGCAGCCTAGTGCTTAGAAGGAGGGTGTGGAGACTGTGTTTTTTATTCTGATTTTTTGTGGCGCTTTCTCACCAGCGCGCACGGTGGAAACAGCCTAAATATTCAGCCACCGAAGAATGGATAAACCAAATGTGTCATACCCCTGTAATGGGATATTATTCAGTCATAGAGGTAAATGAAGTCCCGGTCCGTGCTACATCTTAAAAACATTATGGTGAGCAAAATAGTCAAGAAAGGACAAATAGTGTGTGAGCCCACTTATATGAAAGAGGCAAATGTACAGAAACCAAAGTTAATTAATGTTTATTAAAGAGGGGGGAAGGGGAAATCTTTGTTGAATTAACACCAAATTTCTGCTAAGATGGTCGAATAATTTAGAAATGGGCAATGGTAATGTTTGCAGATCATAAGGAATGTAGTCAATGTCACTTAGTTCATGTGTAAAAAATGTGAAATTTGAAAATATTTTGTTACATACATTTTTACCAATATACATAAACCACTGAAAAACAACGGAAAATAAGGGGAAAAAATAGAATTGTAATCTGAAGATCCACTCTTTCCTTTGGGATTCACACTGAAAAAATTTTAAAATCAATAGCTCTTCATTGTAGGTCACCTCTGTAGTCAGTACTGTGTTAACAAAAAAGATACCAGGGGGTCTCAGGGAAAAGGCGGTGGGTCAGGGTGTGAAGTAGCAGCTATGGGAGTGAGGCTTTCCTCTGGTTCCTGGATGCTTTCCCCCGCCCACTGTCGTGGTCCGAATTCTACCTTGCGGGTCTGGCTTGACCGGAGGATGTGCACCGGTGCAGATGGGAACTGTAGGCACGGGGAGTCCAGAGCAGATGGTCCCTTCAGGACCAGTGGTGTGAGTGGCGATGCTGGGAGGGTAGAGGGAGAATGGGTTGGCGGGAGGGAGCCGATTGCAGGGATCTATATGTGGCCTCCTCCCTGGGGGACCGACGATGGAGGGGTGTGTGAGGGGAGATTTCGGACCGGGCAAGATATGACAA